ACTATAGCGAATTTGGAAGCTATTCGATCACAAACTAAGAAACTAGGAAGCTTTGAAAATTGGCACAGCTTCTTAGTTTTTAAGCTTATGTCGAAACAATTCCAAATTTCTTAGTTATGTCGAAAAAGTTTATGATCTTGCACAACATTATATCTAACGTTTTTGATAAGAAATTGAATATATGTCAAGTATTTTAGAAATGATTGACACTTACTAGCAGGTTGCTGGACCAGCGCCGATTCATTGTTGCACTTGTACAAATACTTGTAATACTAACAGCAACACACAATGAAATGGCAGGTTAAGCATAATTAGGAAGGGGAAGGTTGACTGAAGCAACCTCTAGCAGGGGTAGAAAAACCATGCTGTTTGCAAATGCAAGCATTTGAATTTGATGGTGGCAATTGCCACCGCAGGGCCGAAATGGTTAACAAATGAGCAACAAGAATCCTACTTACAAAAAAAAATTAACAAGGAGGGACTTATTCTGGATAAGGCGGGGAGGATCCGGAGGAACGGGCTCAATATGGCTTCCGAGTAACTCGTGATAGCGATTTTCAAAGTGAAATTCATGCAGAACTTATTGGAGCAACCGCTTTCGTAGAAGTGGTTGGAGGTAAGCAGGATGAAAAAGGTCGCTTTCAGAACTTATAACACCGGGCTGCATCAGAAGACGCCCATTCGTTGCGAATGCGCTGGTTCCTGCGTCTCGCTGATCCTCTGTGTTCCCTCATCTCCGAGTCTGCTCTCCTCGCTTCGACATGGGGTGCTTCTTTGTATCCTGGCGTCTGCCCATCTGCGAACTCGTCCTGCACTAATAAATAGGAACTTATGATCATTCTTTTCCATAGTCTCCTTTTCTTTATTCGTCACCGCCACCTCTACTCTTATTTTCTAGCGTATCATCCCCACAACGATGATCGGGGAGGTACCTATAACTATCACTACTGGTTATTTTTGTTGTACATGGAATGTAGATTTACTCCGGAAATTTTTGAAGGTGACTCTCGGCTACGATGCGATAATACGGAACGTAACAATTTTGTGGATGAACTGATTGCCAGAATCGGCAATGTCGGACGATGTCGGTGATGTAGTAGTGATTGGACACAGCGAGGAGTTGGGAATGCGACAGCTGTGTGCTGCATGAACGTAAGTAAGATTCAGCATGTTTATTCGCTTTATTTAATCTTATTTATTCTAATTATGTACGGCCATATGATAAGCGTAGAAAAAAATGTAAACGTATGCTTGTAGAATACTTTTACCTACTGCCCGTTTGAAGGAGCCCAGAGAGCCGTGAGATGGTAGTAGCCTTGCTGGCTTGCAAGTATGCAAGGCCAGCCCTTATCGTGAAAAAGTTACGTCTAGTGCTTGTTTTTGGGCTAGAAAACGATATTTAAGCCTTGACACGACCTAAGTGTATGGAAGGATGAAGGGACTGTAGAAATCCGAAAAATTAATCGCGGATTTGCCTGTCAACAGTTTGTGTAACATGCACAGGTCAAAAAAGCTTGCGCCTGGACTGGAGAGAGGGAAGGTCAAGGTATTTGTTCCTGAAAGCTGCCTTTGGGAATTCTGGAATACAAAAAACACCACGACGGATCAGAATTTTGGACGAAGAAATGCAAATTGAAAACGAAGAGGCAAGGACATCTTTTTCGCCGCTCAGACTTGATTGCTTATGTGCTGAGGGTAGAATCTTCGGATCGAAATTTCGACAAGGCCTCCCATCTCGCTGTAGTCGAATGGTACCTAATTTTATATAGGGCGGTCAGAGATGCCTGTTTGCATGGACTGCTCCCACCAAGCCCTTTCTGTCAGGTCAAACATTCGCATGCCTTTCTCGATCCTGAACGAAACAGAATGCATTGGGGGGAGCCAAATCGGATTGAACATTGGAGCTAGACCGTTTAATAACGGGTTGGGAGGCGTTGTAAATCATAAATAACCATGTAGACAATTGTTCTACGGACCAATGGTGTGGTTCCAGGAAAACATTGTGCGGGATAGTGGAGGGTAGGGTACAGGAAATGCGCAAGCAAGCGGCGCTCATACCATCCGAGTTGCCTATGTGGTTTGAAATTAGACCGATCCGGCTGGAGCATTCATCCTTATCGGAGCTAATCTGGCAGATGAAAACCAATGTCTTGCTCACCGGCTAATCCTGAAAAGCATCCAATCAAAATGTGTATCCGAGCGATTCCGAATAGTGGTCGGTTACGTTCGCATCCAACGTCAAGATCACTGGTCATCTATTCTCTTGACCCTTGAACGGCAATGTGACGAAGTTATTACGAAGGATTACACACAGGCGTTTCCTTGTTCCTGCATCACAACCCACAGCTCCTTTTCTATTATGGCAAAAATGATTGTTAATATTAATGTGTGTGTTTTTCTAGGACAAACTAAGCGGACTGATGCTGGTGAACCCACTGGCCTTCGTCTTCATCGAGGATTGCGGCCATTTTGGGTGATCAGGTTTCTGCTATGGCTGGATTCACTTGGATCCATAGCCAGGAAAATATTGCATCCACTTCTGAAATTTTGTAAGTTTCTCGATGTTTGTTTTTTTTTTATTAATATATCGAGCGCATGTGGTGTAGTGGGAAGTGTCCTTCGTTACTTACGCAATCTGGGTATCAATCTTGGGACCATTCACACGGCTAAAGCCACCTAGCTACATCTCTGAATTCGTTGTATGGAATGGATTAGGTATCGGACGCGAACAAAAAATCATAAGTTTATCCGGTGGTCGCGCAATTGGTTGTATAAGGCGAATTCGCGTTCAAGCATCACTACCATTCGGAATGGAAATATAATAGGATGCATGGCAGAAGAAGAAAGGAAAGAAAATGAAACTTTTAAAAGGAATTGATAAACACCGAATACTCTATCCTTTTCTGTGGTAAAAGGACTCTACTGGGAGGAATAACTTCGTTGAAGATAGACTGTCCGCGTGGATCTGCGTTCATAGAACTTATATGAGCCTTATTTTCTTTTTGAAATAATTTTAGTTTACAACAATATCATTGGTCTACGACTTGATTCTGGTGAACGGGCAATGATGTGTGTTCGAACGATGTCTCACCTTGAACTCGCAAAAGGCTTACAACCTAATATAGACCTGTATTAATCAAAGCCCCGATGTAAGTTGTGAAGTGATTGTTGTACTCAAATTACTGTTGTGCACGTGCGTCAAGTAATTTTCATTGTAGACCCGCGTGCTTATGGCGTATTCTGGCAAGGATTTCCTCATTGAGACGAGTATTTCCCGAGAGCTCGCGAATTCGTTCAAAGGTCATAAAGAACTGGTGAGTGGAAGTGTTTGCTTCTTGTTTACGTTACCATGGGTTACTCTATGGGCGTCCATAGCATAGTGCCAACGTGGCACCGCGTCACAGTTCCAGGGTCCAAATCAGGGTCAACCGTTGCATTTGCACTTTTCCAAAAATTTTCGACCCTCCTCCCTTTAGAGGGTGTCAATACGACCCCCAACCACAGCTGTCAGCCCGAGGAGGCTCCCCCAATACGACCCTCTTCCCCTTACCCTGACCGATGCCCCCACCATCATGGCTGTATTTGATTGATGCTGATGATTTTGCTTTTTTCTTCTGTAGGATTCTGAGACCAGTCGACACAGCCCAACGGTTTTCCTCTAAAACGCCAGAACGACAGCGGGCATATGGGGTGGGGTGTCATGGAACGGTGAAGCTTTTTGACTGCTCCCTCCTACTTCAGCGGAACTCGATAAACTCGTTGATGAGACTTAACTCGCCAAACTTTTTTCAGGCTAGTTAGCCTTGCTCGGCTCAAAATTGGCCCTTCCAGAAATCGTAAATGCTGCCTTCTTCATTCGAATAGTGCGAAGGTCAACCCTGACTCAAACTCGAGCACTACAAGTTTTCCATATCTTGAACCAGTATTTCACTCACTCTGTTGCTTAAATTGGTTCCAGGCTGAATAAATAACGATATATGGAGCAAAAGCTGAAAATAAGAAATGTTGCACAGCATTTAAAGGCAGCGATTACGATAAAGAGGGAGCGCATCGGGGAAGCATATGCACCACACGAATCAGTTACTTGGCTGCCAGGAAGCGAGGTGTAGCGCTTTCACGACGAAAGGTGCGCTGGTTGCTGAGCAGGACTTCGAAAGCACTCCGCCCCCAAAAGCGATCCGCCCACTAGTTTAGTTGGTGATTTGGACGAGCTGCGTTGCCAGCAGCGGCACAACTGGAGCAACTCGATTGGAGTGTGGTTGGCATGGTGTCACCAAACGCTGTGCACCACAGTTGCACAACTGGAGCAACTCGATTGGAGCGTGGTTTGGCATGGTGCCACCAAACGCGTTGCGCTGAACTCGTTCATACGTCCGCTTTCTGAGCTGTTACCTGTTCATGAGTGAAAACCAACGGCCAAAAAGGGGGTCCCATTTTGCGTTTTTTGACGGATTTCTCCGCTTTTTTTCACTGCGTACCATTGAGCACCACCAGTCTCCTCTAAACCTTCTTGAAAGTATCGTAATCACTGCCTTCAAGAAAAAAAGTAAAGGAAACACTCGAGTGGCCTGAAATCAAGACCTCTTTTTGTGATGTCGACCATGGTAGGGAGAGGCACAGCTCTTTAAGGAGAGAAAATGCGCCATAGAGCATGTTGTAAGAAAAGAAGTAGAATCTCGCATGTTGCGAATGACAAAAATGAAAAGCTTAGGATGCGCCACGCATCCTCTTCTTTATGGACATTACAGTAATAATGGCATATGAATGCTTCTATTCATACAATGGCTTACGGTCAAGGCTGGGTTTTTGTCCTCTCATCATCG